TTCCCTTTTTGGCCCCCCCCCCCCCCATTATTCGCATCTTGTTCTTCTACTATTACGGCGCGTTCTCTGTTTCTCAGTGGCGCAGCGATAGTTCCGGGACGGTAGCGGCGCATTCATTACGCGTTCGTTCAGTTTGCAGAGTTTTGGGATCGGCGCGGAACGGCTGGATGCTGGCGGTAGGAATAGGTGGTGGTAGAAAATCGAGCAAGAAAAGGGCACCGGTGACTGGAAGGACGAGAGAACAACGAGGAGACGAGGGTTGAAGAGGAAGCGGCACTAACAGTGGTAGCAGCTGCAGGGGAGGGTGGATGGATCGGCGTGACAGCAGCTCGGTAGGGGAAAGCTTCGTGGACTCTCATCCCTCTCCTCTACGCGTTGGCTGCCCTACGAGAAGGAAAAGGGCGTTGGTAGCCCTGCCAATCCTACGCCCTACGAGGTTCTCGTGGGGCGAGGTCACCGGAGGTCACACGATCGCGAGCCCTATGCTGCTTCCAATCGAACCAGGTGGAAATCGTTGTAGGGCCGGACCCGTGCCAACTTGCCCGCCCGCCTCCTTCTCTCTTTCTCTCCGCGCGACCAAGTTCGAGAAGGACGTCTAGGGTGTGTCTGACCGGATGACTCGTTAAAAGTTCCTAGAGTGTCGGTTACCGGTACCTGCTGTCGATCGAACCTCGATCGTGTTCGACGCGTTACGAGTAGTACCGAAATCTTCACGTAACATACATTCCCTTTGACGCAGAGGACGACGAGCAGAGCCACGAGTTACGCGAACACGTGGTCCTTCAACGCGCCGCGTAACGTAATGCTTCAATGTGGACGCGTGAACGTCCACGGGAAGAAGAGGCAAACAGAGAAGGAGAATTTATCACAGGCAGCTAGCGAATTTCCAGGGAAATCATCTCTGTCGAATTTTTACTAGAAATTTCTCTATGGAACAAGGGTGCATCAGACACACCCCGCGCGAGCCAGACGAATCTTGTTCGCGTCTGTATTCGTGTACCGGGCGTCGGTGTACGGTGTGGCGTACGTGTGTATAAGCCAACAGCAGGTAGAGCACGGCAGCGGCCAACCGTACGGGGTTTGTGGGAGTCGATCGATGCGGCGAGACGCCGGGCGTCGCACTTTCCGCTAACCATTCCACTCCAACCTACGCGCTCGCTCTCCACTATCCGTCACCACTACCACCGCGTGATCCTTCCCACCACCGTGCTACAATTTTACCACCACTACCATCAGGCGCCGCCACCTCTAGTAACGGCAGCATTGGCACACCACCACCACCACCACCACCACCACCACCACCGCCGCCACCGCCACTGCCACCGCCAGAGAGAATCCAAGTAACGTCTCTCGTGCCGCGGCGCGCAGTACCCCCTGCGGAAAAGCTGCCAGGGCTAAAACCCCCCGACTACGATTCCAACGACTCTCCGCGTCCGACGCATAGTACGTCGACCCACAAGCCCAGCCACCTCTCTCTCTCTCTCTCTCTCTTTCTCTCTCTCTCTATCTATCTCTATCTCTCTTATCCCCGCGCTCCCTCCTCCCAGAGTCTGACGCGCTACCCCTACGCGCGCCACCCGTACCCTGCCCCGACTCGTCGGCATCAATGAAAATGACGTCACGGCAAAAAGCTCACGTTTAATTATCAACGCTACGCTTCGCGGTGTACACGCCGGCCCCGCCGCGAACACGCCCGGTGAGGGCTTTCGAGTTGAGCGACTTTACGCCAACGGAGATGCTCGTAACTCACCGTCGTTGTGCTTCTCCCTCCCTCCCCTCTCCATCCTTTCTTTCTTTTCGTTTTTACTCTTTCTCTCTCTCTCTCTTTCTCGCGGGATTTCCAGACGCGTAAATAGGGAACAATGAGGGGAAACAGACCTTTCCATTCTCTCTCTATCCGGATCGCTGAATTGAAACGCGGGGAAACACCCGAGATACACCGCGAATCGATCGTGTTCGCGCGTCTTAGTTTCGTGACTTCTCCTCTTTTTTTTTTTTTTTCTGCTTATCGAGTCTTCTCGAGGAATCTTCGCGTCGCGCGTTTACCGTACCATTGACTTTGATCGCTACCACCCCGCTATCCCTCACGCCGCGTTTCTACGATTTCTATAATTAGACGTTCCGTTAGAAACTGAATCGCTTTAAAAGGGGCTGACGTTAATACGAGGTTGAGTGCAAAGATCGTGGCATTTGAATTTAAGCATCGCCGATCGCTGCGGTTCTTTAATGACAGAAAACCCCGCGTCCCGGAGATCCTCGTTTGCACCGGTAGCGCGTGCTGAACGAGGCCTTTCAATCGCAGCGACCGCAACGTCGGCAAGAGACCATGCCACGGAAACCGCGGAGGCGTTCCTACAAACTCTGGCTCCTAATTCGGCTATCCTTTCCTTCTCGTTTCGAAGCATGTCGTCATCCTCTGTTTCCTCCGTCGCGACAAATCGTGTTACAAACGAGTGTACTCACTGAAGTCGATTAGCAATCGGCCGTATCCTTGCCGTTGATAAGGCGGCAGCGTCAGGATGCAGGACACATTGTAGTTTAGGAACGAAGTCTTTTCCTGGAACACGTAGAAAGTAAACATTTCACACATCCATTTTTATTGTCAATTTATTCGTGTAACGCGTAATAATCGGCACATTTTCTCATACACTTTTCAAGTTTTACACTGTTGCGTTTGTTCACACCTTCCGCTGGCAACTGGTGCGCGGACCGTAACGAGTGACCGAAGAACCGTGTATACAATAATTCGTCGCTTTCTTTTCCTTTTGAACTCGTCGGTATGATATCACATGTTACGGATAGAAATTATTGAGAAGTAATAAATTTATTTATCCCGTTTCGCCTGGGTTATACTTAAATATACTTAAAACTGAGGAAATGTTGCAATTTTTTTGACAAAAGATTCTCGACGTGCGTGGCAAGAGATTGACCACTTACGCTGGCAACTGATTGCGGACCATAACGAGTGGCCGAACCGTATATACAATAATTCGTCGCTTTCTTTTCTTTTTAACAATAAACTTATCATTTGTTTCGCCCGGGTTACATTTAAATATACATAAAACTGAGAGAAATGTTGCAATTTGGGAAATTCTCGACGTGCGTGGCACGTCATTCATCGGCGCAAGAGGTTGTATACTTGGTTTTGTATTAAACATGTCGTTTAACGTTATACGTCTGATTACCGCATATTTTTTAGCTGACATTTTCTATACACGACGTATTATACTAGAAGATATCCTAGAAGATTGATCTATACATAACCAAACTCTCGGCTGGCAACATGACGTATCAAAAATTATTGACAATCATTTTCGATACAGTCCGACATTTCCACAGATGGAAATTACATTAGATTATTTTATTATTAGCACAGGTCGTAGTTGGACAACATCCAAATCCAATGTTGATTTGAGAAGAAGCTGAAAGCTACGGGGGCAACGTCAAAGACCGAAAGAAACCAGTTTTTCTTCTTCGTCTCACGAAGGCATACGGAACGAAGCTGCAGACTTCAGCGACCGAGGCTGCGTCTGAAAAGGCTGAAAGACATTTACGTGGAAAAATAAAATATAATATTTCCCGCTGGTAGCACGATTAGCACATAGAGCCCTCCACTCCGCCCAGATGGCTACGCGTGCAGGAAACACAATCGGCGACGTATTATGACGTTAACGCGACGAAAATGCGTCGTGACCTTCGTTCATTCGCGAGGAACACAATGGGTTAACGATATTTCGGACGACGCGTCGTCTTGTTCAAAAGGAAACTGTAATATGTTTTATTAAACCGTTCCCCCTCTGCCTTTGGCTAATCGGATTTTCAAAAATGGACGGTCGATCGAAGAAACGGGCGATGATGGAAATATCTCGTTTTAAATATAGACGTCGGCTGCCTGCCTCGCGAATGAACACGTTCATTTTTTTTCGAGAACGTATTTTTACCGTGACACCGGAGTGGGCGTACACCTACGGACATTGTGTGCATTCTATACACGCGTATCGCGGCCAATGGCAGATTAGATAAATTTCGTGTGAAATTACATCTGTGTACCAAATCCATGGGAGTGTTCGCGACGAATCCGGAGCAGGGAAAATTCCTGGTGTCGCGACACGTGGACGAGGCTCCACGCACGAGTTCCGATTGTTTCAATTTTCATCGATATTTTCCGATTTAGCTCCAGAGACGTTCCATCCGGCGGGTAAATTTGCCCGGTAAACACCGGGACGCAGGCGGATAGAGATGAACAGCGCTCGAAAATCGAGGCTTTAGGGTAAATTTAATTTTCGTTAGAGCGGACGCGACGGAAAATAAAAGAGTATAATATAAAGAAGAAATATATCGGAAAAAGTATGAACGTACGCGACGATCGTATCGTATCGTCGGATGCCATCAGCCGATATACAGCCGAGTATCCTATATTCGAAATTTCTAACAGATCGTAACGACTTTCGAACGGCTTTAATTAAGATTTTAAGGTGTACTCTTCATACTGTTCAATACAATGTTTGTAAACAGACGGCTAAGATGTATCGTTGTCCGCAAGAGATGCGTAAATAAGTTACGTATATTACGAATATTTATGACACGCTACATTTTGACATGATTCAGTTTATTGTTTGATATTGAGAAAAGTATGTAATTTATGTTACCATAAACTATTTATGTTACTATTTATGTTACTATAAACTATAATGAATGTTCTAACATATTAATAAAAAAATAATCCAAACTTGCTATTATAACTAACCAAGTCCACAACAATATTTTGAATAGTATGATGTCCGAATATTAATAAGTGTCAATGTATGTAGATACCAACTGTTCAAAGTACAAAAAAAAAAAAAAAAAAAGAAAATCTTCGATCCTTCTTGGAAAGAAAGGAATCAGACTTGTTTAATCTTCCAAGTGGCTAGATTATCAATTACGCTTTCACGATTAAGGTTCGTTTGTCGTTTTCAAGTAAAAAAAAAATTGGGCTACTTTCGAAGGTCGAATAGTTTTTGCCGGAGAGAAATTACCATTGGCTTTTGACGGGTGTCACGATCGATCCTTTTGGGGAGATATCGTGCGTAGAGTTCGTCGTTAATCATTGTACGTCCGTCGGTCCCATTTTGTTAGGCAGCAGCGGGCCCAGTACGACTTGAACACCCGGTATTTCCGGCTACGGCAGCCGTGCTGTTGCTAACTGCCGAGTGGGGCAGCAACGGTTCGAAGGACACTACTCGAGAAGACTTGCCCATGCTTGCACGAACTCGTCTCTATGTAAGTATCTGGCTGCGTGTGTGTGTGTGTGTGTGTGTGTGTTGTGTGTTGGTCGTAAAAATGGGAAAGGAGATTCTCTTTCGCAGGCTGAAAAGAGATCGGGGAATAGCCAGAAAAAGAGGGGCGGGAGATAGGGGAAGGAAACGAAAGAGCGTAGGAAAGAGAAGAAAGATGTTGGGCCTTATGAACGAGCGTGTGCCGTAGAGAATCGTCTCGATAGAGCAGACAGCCCAACCCCAGCGGACCAATTGCCAAAAGGCAAAGACGAAAATATGGCCAGGCCACCGAATGAACGCTTAGAAAGACGAAGAAACCGAGAGAAATAACGTGTTCGCGGCGCGTGAGAGCACGGAGAGGGACACGAAGAAGAAACCGAACGAAAGAGAGAGAGAGAGAGAGAGAGAGAGAGAGAGAGAGAGAGAGAGAGAGAGAGAGAGAGAGAGAGAGAAAGAGAGAGAGAGAGTGAGAGTGAGAAAGAAACGTGAACATGGGCGAGAAAGAGAGGAGAAGAATAGAATCTGGGCCCCGCGACGTCCTTGGGCCAGTAGTCCCAGCTCCACTCAGGGACGTCTCCGAGTGCCCATCCGTGCAAGTTCCATGTAAGAAAGCCTCTCTCACACACATCGCTTTTCCTCCTTTTCTCGTCCCTCGGAGAGGAGATCGCTGAAACGATTCGACGAAATCGATCGCAAAACGAACCGTGTCACTCTGCTCAAGAAAGGGAAAATCCGTGCCCGATTGGCGAGGATATTCGACACTGAATCGCGAATCGCTCTTTTTCGAATTTGGAGTTCCGAAAGAGTGCGACGTTTAATTTGAATCTGTGCCAAAACACGAATCCGGCACAGGATTTGGAGAATCGATATTCTCGTCTCTTTCCGTCTTCTTTCATTCTACGTGGCCGCGTACTACGATAACAATCGCGATCAGTGATTTTAAACTTCTTGCGCTGGAACGACGTGTCACGCACGTCGAGAATATATTGAAATATAATCCAGGCAAAACGAATAATAAATTTATCACTTCTTAGTAATTCCTATCCAGTGATATACCGATGAATTCATGAAGAGAAGACGAATTATTGTGTGACGGTTTGGTCACTCGTTATGATCCGTGAATCAGTTACTAGCGTTAACCATCCAGAAAACCAATCTTCTTTTCATTCTTTAACGTAGCCGGAAGACTAAGAGACAACTTCACGAAAAGTCGCTTCTAAATCGGGAATGATCGATGCCCCACAGACAAAACGCGCCTGCCGGTACATAATCGCGATTACTTCGATAAATTAAATCGAATGGGAGGACGTGCCGATCGCTATAAATTTTTCAGCATCGTTTTCCAATTATCCCCCGAAGCGATCCCCGGTCGAATCTTCGCCAATCGCTTCTCTTTTCTTCTATCGAATTCCTCGATTGTGACGAACGAAGCGATGCGAATCGATTGGCAGACAACCGATAAAGAACGCGTCGCGTCTTCGATTATCATCGACGATATCGCGACCGATATAGTCGTTATCGATCGCGGCTGCGAAAAGTGGGTACTCTTGAACTAAGCGTGACATGGCGTGCGTGGCATAACGCTTAGTTCATTGTAAAAGGCTTTCGATCGGTCAGTATCCTTTTCCTTTACACGAAGTGCGCGCAAAACAGGCACACGTGCGATGACAGAGGCATCGGAATGCGAGCAATCGTTCCTTCAAACTCGCCTCGGTCCCTCGACCGTTCATAAACACACCGTCGCCATAGGCGAGACGTTGCTGCGCAAGTGGCATATACTCGTACTTAGGTGAACGAACGTTTACGTGGCGGGGTAACGAGACCTGGCTAATAATCCTCTCTTTTCCTTTCTCCCGGCGACTACTTGTCGCGACAGACAACCGTTCGCACTTGCGGCGATTTTGTATCGGGCTGTGGAACTCGAAAATTACTAGTTTCCTCAAATTAAGTTCCTCCTCAGATAATATTAACGTAACAGTGAGAAAAACAGCGAGGTTGATGTTCCTGTTGTTTGTCTGACGCCTAGGTTACTACAGCTCGTCACTCACTGGCGAATTCTTCGAGAGTATCTACATGGTAACGCGGCGGTGTGAACGTTGCTTAAAGGTTATACAGCTCCTCGCGACGGTCACTTCTATATTTAGATGCACCGAGTTTCCTCCTCCACTTTCTTTATACTGAACAAAGCGTTCCTCTTAACATACGGGGTGTGCGCGAAATCTCGCGAGTGATCGGAACGCGAGAGATTAGCTATTCTCACGTGCAACTGAATGAATTCTGCAATGAAACGGGAAATTCT